CCAAAAATCTCTTTAAAAAAAAAAAAAAAAAAAAAAAAAAAAGTGTGGAGGGGGGGACGACTTGGTTTTTACAATAGCCAGAAATCCTTTTTTATCAAGTGATATTTAGATTCTAAAGCCTTATAGACACGCAGTCCCTCTCCAGTGAGAAGCATTGAGAACTGTTTAATCTGTCACATGCCCAGGTTGTTCCAGGGTAATTTCTCTCACTTCATAGCACAGTGTATTTTTCTTTGACCACTTAATAGGTATGTGAGTCTATTGCCAGGATCTGTTGTGAAATGTGAGGGAGAAACAAACAGTTCTTGGGAGCTTCTTGCTAGGATGAGTCACAATCTCTTAGCTCAGTTTGGGCTTTTTTGTTGTTTTATTTGGTAGTTTGTGCATGTTGGTGTGGGTGTACACGAATACTCAAGTAATGTGGTGGTCAAAGGTTGGATGTCGTTCCTCAGGAAGTATCCACTTTTCCTTTAAAAAATTATCATCGTGTGTGCTTGTGATGTGGGGCTGGAGGAGCAGGTACATGTGCCATGGTGTACACGTGGAGATCAGAGGATGCTTTGTGGAGTCAGTTTTCTTTCACCTTTACATGGGTTCTGGAGTTTAAACTCAGGTTGCCAGGCTTGGTCAGCAAGTGCCTTTACCTGCTGAGCCATTTCACTGGCTCTCTTTTTTGAGACAGGGTTTCTCATTGGCCTTGAACTTGCCAAGTAGGCTAGGCTGGCTCTTTTTGCCAACCTAGCAGTGGGATTCCAAGTGTGCACTGCTACACTCAGCTTTTTGATGTGAATTCTGAGGGTCAGACTGGAATCCCCATTCATATACAACAAGCACTTTGCCGTTTTTTATTTTGTGTGTATGTGTATAAGCAAAGTAAAAGTAAGTGTACTAGTTTTGGGAGTTGGTTCTCTGCATTATATTGAGTTCCAGGGATGAAATTCAAGTCATCATCAGGGTTGATGGCAGTTAGGTTTATTTGCTGAGCCATCTCACTGGCTCCAGTGTTTGTTTTTGAAACAGAGTCTTGCTGTGTAGCCCTGGCTGGCCTGGAACTCACTCAGGCTAGCTCAGACTTGATACAGTTCCTCCTGCCTTTGCTTTCTGTTTCCTGGGATTCCTCCCGTGCATTACCTTGCCCTACCATGTTAACATTTTGAGTGGCGTATTAAGTCCATTTGCTAGATTTATTTTTACTTATTTACTTTTTTGATCTTTTTGAGACAGAGTCTCCCTATAGCCCCAGCTGGCCTGGTACTCAACTGTGTAGACCAGGCCGGCCTCGAACTCACAGAGATCTGCCTGTCTCTGCCTCCCAAGTGCTGGGATTAAAGGTGTGCACTGCCATACGTGGCCAGATTTGTGTGTGTGTGTGTGTGTGTGTGTGTGTGTGTCTGTGTAGTCTTCCATACACAATTGTTAATACCAGTTCCCCTCCCTCCTGCCCTCCCACCCAGTGCGTGCACGCATGCGTGTGCACGCACACACACAAATCGGGTGGTTGTAATGCCTGCTTCATTCAGATGTTTTATGTAGTGTTACTTCTGCTATCAGCACTACAGTTCTAATAAATGGGCGTTTCGGTGCTATATCTCAAAACCTCGGCAGAAAGAGCTGATAAATTCAAGATGGCCATGAGCAAATCTGGCCCCTGCTGTTTTTAGTCACTGCTGGCTCTCTGATAGCTGGCCATGCTCCCTGCCTGCTGCCTTCATGTGGCCGCCTTCACTGGCTATGCATTTTTCTTGTTGCTGATATTTATCATTGTAATTGAGGCAAAAGTACAGGCTTCTTTTGAGGGTGTTATATGTTCCAGATTGTCTTGAGAACAGTATTTCCCTTGGTTGAACCCACGGCTCTGAAAATAAATGTGTTGGCATAATATCTTCCCTCTGTTATTGTGCCCTTTACATCTGAGAAGGTTTGTTTCCTTCACCGGCTTTCTGCCTGTCAGTGGTAAACCTCGAACATTCAAAATGTTTAAATTACAAAAGAGCCCCTGTGGACAAGGACGTTTTTAAAAGCCTGGCTGCTCTTATTATGAACCACTGTTTTTGAAGAAGAAATCAGAAGGCAGCAGAAATAACCTCTACCTGGGAGCGGGTCACCTGCACGGATGAGCCACTGAGGCAGCTCCTGTTGAGAGGCAGCCCCCATGCGCGTTTTCCTTGGCTGATTTCTTTGCAGTGTCTTCCCTCTCATCTCCCACTCTTGCTTCAAAGAGCACTGTGAATCAAACAACTGGAAGAAAGGGCAGCGGAATGGAATTTCTCCCTCCCTGCTGTGGTAGCTTCGAAAGCGTCAACTGTCAACTAGACGTGACCCTTTTCCTGGCAGCAGGGTGGGCATGTGTGGGATCTTCAGGTGGCAGTGGTGGGTAGTTTTTACAATAGCATGAACTGTTTTCTAATGTTGGATGGAGCTTCTTTGGGGATACTGCATAGATAGGACACCCTCTGTAATACTAAGTGCTTGGTTGTAGGCATTTTTGCCATACACAATTACTTGGAACCTTACAAAAGTTGCATAGTTGCTAGTTCATCCAGCAGTTCTGTGGTGCCGAAGAGTAAATGGTGTTTGATTTGATTCCATTCTCAGAAGATACTATAGGTTTAATTGCATAATTTTACTGTTTTTGTCCTGTTGGTTTGTTTTTGCCAAGCAAGGGATCAAACCTAGGCCGTTCTGCTGTATTCCACCTCTGACCCCAAACTTTATTTTCCCAAAGATGTTGGGTGTCATCTGCTCCTTTTGCAGAAGTGTTTGAGCCCAGAGTGAAGCGACTGAAGTTCCTGAATTTCCTCACTTCAGTGCTGCTCCCTGCCATGTAGTGGCAGCCTGGTCAGGAGCCTCCGGAAGCTTTGCTGTTGCCTGTAGGCTCCTGGACTCAGGAAGCCACACCCGCTGCTCAGGCAGCCTGTGTTGTGTGGTTATAAGCAGGCACTGCACCAGCACTCACAGCCTAGGAGTTACTGCTCCATGGCCCCCTGCCTCAGTTTGCCTCCTTCTAAAGCAGCTGTTTTTCACCAGAAATACCAGCTTTCCTCTCCTGGAGCCTCTTCTTGTAACACCTTGTTTTGGCCCTGTCATAGAATTTTGTGTCCTGGGAGGTCCTGCAGAGGCTTCTGGCTTATAATTCCAGCATTTAGCACAGTACTTGTCATGTGGTGACTACTTTTTTTTTTTAGGGGGGTGGTCTTTTTGAGACAGGGTCAACCTGTAGCCCCAGCTGGCCTGGAATTCCCTATGTAGATCAGACTAGCCCTGAACTCACAGAGATCTGCCTGTCTCTGCTTTCCAAGTGGTGGGATTAAAGGCATGTGGTGACTTCTTAATGCATGCCTCATTCATTGTTGAATGAATTTAAATGTCCTTGTGTAGACTAAGGACACGGTGTGAGTGTCAGCCCCCTAGATGGTGCTGATGTCTCAAGGTGTTTGATGCTTATCCTGTTTCGTGGTGTGAGCATTTCAAGACATGAAGAAGCAGTCCTGTGTTGAGACCGTGGCCTTTCCCACATGAAGTTAGCTTCATACATCCCCATTGAAGTATGCTAGATTTTTCACAGCTGCCGTTGGCTGGATGCACCTGCTTGATGTTGACGTGCTGGGCCTGGTTTCGCAGAGCTGTCCTGTTGGTACTTCCTATGTGTTACAAATAGGCTTACTGCTATGATCTCTGGCAGGGCCCGTACCCCTGGCATGACTGGCCACAGGTTTCTGTTGAGTCTGTGCTTGCTTTTTTATCTGTATGCCAGTATGAGCAAGGTGCTTTTGTGGTAACATCTGTCCAGCTTGTGAAGCTCTTGGGCCGTTATTCTGCACACATACTTCAGGGCTGATTTTTTACACTTGTCTTTGTGGCCCCAAGGAGTAGGAAAAGTGAATGGCTTTCCCTTAAGGTCAGGGATGTTCCTGTAGTGTAAGCTTTGTTAATGGAGTACCTTTGAAGAGGCAGCTCTTAAATTGAAAAGCATAACAGAAGGAATGCTCTTGAAGTTCTCCTCCCATCCCTGCCTTTCCGAACCTGGCATCTGCTTGCACTCTAGCTGAAAGCACTATCCAGATATGGTTTGAAGGTTTTTTGTTTGTTTGTTTTTTTGGTCTGTTTTTGAGACAGGGTCTCCCTGTAGCCACAGCTGGCCTGGATTCACTATGGAGACCAGGCTAGACTTGAACTCACAGAGGTCTGCCTGGCACGGTGGTGCACACCTTTAATTCCAGCACTTGGGAGGCAGAGGCAGGTGGATCTCTGTGAGATAGCGGCCAGCCTGGTCTACATAGTGAGTTCCAGGCCAGCTGGGGCTACAAGAGACTGTCTTAAATTTTATTCTTATTTTTTAATTATGTGTGTATGTGTGTGTTCATGTTTGTGCACCTGAGTGCGGTGCTGAGGGCTTGGCTATAGTAAGCCAAGCCACCTGGCATGGGTGCTGGGAATTGAACTTGGGTCCTCTGGAAGAGCAGCATGTGTTCTTAATTGTTGAGCCATCTCTCCAACCACCAGAAATTATTTAAACAATTATTTTAATTGTTCTGTGGTCTTAAACCCACTGTCTAGCCCAGGCAGGTCTTGACCTTGATCCTCCTACCAAAGCCTTCCAAGTGGCTGGAATTATAGGACTGTACCACCAGGATTTTTTTTTTTTAACTTTCTGAATTTGAAAAGGCATTGAAGTATTCTGTGTAACAATGTTTGAAAAGTATTTAACTTTAATCTTGCTTAACTAGCATTGGGCTGAGACATATGACCCTTCCCCTGAAGTCTTATTTTGGTTTCTAGAGATTCAGCACTCAGGCTAAGAATATGTGACAGTTCCAAGGTCAGAATGACGTAGACCAGGCTTGTTTGCTACAGGAGTAAAAAAGTTAAAAATGTCCAAACAGCTTGCTTGCTAATTTAGACAAGGGTTTTTTTTTTTAAGCTCAGGCTAGCCTTGAACACCTAGATTTGAGCAGTCCTGCTTCAACCTCCGCACAAATGAGACTATAGGCACGTGCCTCTACAGCAGGCCTAAAAGTGGTTTTAAGTGAGAATTTGTATTTGTTGTTGAAAGTGGTGTTCAGTGAGACCATGTTCCTGTTTGTGAAAGGATACTGGAGAGCCTGGGAATGGGGTGATGGTACTGAGTTGTTGGGGGCTGAGAGTTCATTTCCCTACTTTTGAGCTCCACCTGCTAGTCCTGGGAGGCAGCAGGGTACAGGAACAAAGGACCTATGTGTATTATTGTCTCCTCCACTCGAACTCTTAAGGCTGGACCTCCCATGTACACTTGGCTGTTAGGCCTCATGGGCTCCCTAAGAATGTAACAAGTGGGCTGGCTGCAAACACTATGTCTTTTGTGCTCTAGAGCCTTTGATTTTGTGTGTCATTTTAGAATCGGTGTTTTACGCCTTCAAGTGGGGTATAGGGCTCAGTGTTTTCCTTTGCAGACTGTGAGTTTCTTTTTATATTGCCACAGATCATGCATGCATTTTCAGTTGCTCCCTTTGACCAGAATTTGTCAATTGATGGAAAGATTTTAAGTGATGACTGTGCCACCCTTGGTACCCTCGGCATCATTCCTGAATCTGTCATTTTACTAAAGGTAAGTTGTTTGGGTTTTTCTTGAGATGGGGTCTCTCTCTCTCTGTAGCCTGGTAGGCCTAGAAGTCATAGAGACCCACCTGCCCCTGCCTCCCAAGTGCTGAGATTAAAGGTGTGCACCACCACACATGGTCTACTGTCAGCTTTTGCTCCCCTCTTGATTACTCAGCTCTGCAGAGACTAAGGGGGTCAACACATTGGGTCTTGTCCTCAAGAGTCATGGTAGGCTGTAGTGATGACAGGACATCATCCACTTTACCCTAAGACAATGAAGAGGTTCGCTTCCTCTAGGCCCTTTTTCTAACCCCTCTAGCTTAGTGTGTGTGCCCACAAGTAGTCAGGATAGGCAGTGCTGCCCAAAAATTTCCATTGCCACCTGATTGCTTCTGGCTTATTTTCTCCTCCAGACCATAGATCTGTTTTTCATTCTTCTCACATGGGGGTGGGGGGCTGATTGACTGTCAGCCCCAGGAACAGACACATTGGGTTCATCTGGACACATGGTTTCTGTCCACGGTTTCCATGGTACCCTCTTCCCCTTCTGCAACTGCTCAAACACACTTATTTTTAAAGGCAACCCACATGGACCACCTTTTTTTTTTTTTCTCCTTCCTTTATTTCCTTCCCTGTTTTGGTTTTTTTGTTTTTTTTTTTTTTTAATTTTTTTGAGACAGGGTCTCCCTGTAGCCCAACTGGCCTGGAACTCACTATGTAGACCAGGCTGGCCTTGAATTCACAGAGATCCGCCTGCCTCTGCCTCCCAAGTGCTGGGATTAAAGGCATGCGCCACCACGCCCAGCGTTGTTTTGAGACAGGTAGGGTCTATATAACCCAGGCTGGCCTCCCTTAGCCCCTTGAGTCCTAGGATTACAGGCATGCACCACTGTGCCTGGCTTGTTTTGTTTTGAGCTAGTAGGAGAGTCTAGCCTTTAAAAAAAGAAAAAAAGCAAACCAATCAGTGCACATCCACTTTTGTATCACTGCGACTTGCTCCCTAAGACAAGAGGACAGGTGTGAGACCTGTGTGAATAGCAGTTTTTTTTTTTTTCCGGTCTTTTTTGAGACAGGGTCCCCTTGTCCCAGCTGGCCTGGCACTCGCTATGTAGACCGGGCTGACATCGATCATCCGCCTGCCTCTGCCTCCCAAGTGCTGGGATTAAAGGCATGCGCCACCATGCTCAACTAGATCTGTTGTCTTTTTTGGGGGGGAGGAGTGGTCTTTTTGAGATGGGGTCTCCCTGTAGCCCCAGCTGGCCTAGAAAGTATGTGCCACCACGCCTGGTTTAGATCTGTCATTTTTATAAAAATCACAAAGATCTCATTGAACAGTAGGGCTTCTTAAAGTTTTCATTAAAAACAACTCTAGCCTCAGCTTCTCCCTTCTCTGGGGCAGCAGGACAGTTTAAGCATGCTGTGAATGAGGCCTTCCCTTTGTTGGCAAAAGTACAGCTTAGGGTCCCTTTCTGAAGTACTTGGGACTAGGTGTGTGGATTTGTTTGTTTTTGTTTTTTTGAGTTTGAAATATCTGCATGTATTACTGAGATGTGTTTCATACATACCTCTTGAACACCCTGGAAGAAATCTCAGTGTTCTAGCTGCAGCCCATCATAGTTTGGGTATGAAAATTTTCCACTTCAGGTATCCTGTTAAGAGCTCAGAAAGAAAATTACACATTTTGAAACATTTGCGTTTTTGAATTAAGGATGCTTAACCTGTACCTGGTGATCAAGCAAGGAAATGCGCATAAGATACAAGGATCTAGTACAAAGCTCAAGTCCCCCAGGTAGCATGATGGGATTCTTGTCTGGGTTTGGAAATTGGCTTTGGATTTAGTAGATGTTGAACATGCTTTGGAAAATGGGGTCTTCTGAGAATGCATTAGTCCAACCTCCCACTCCCCCAAGGGCCTTAGTTTGTGACTTCCCTTTTCCTCTTTTGTTTTCTCCTAGCCAAAATGACCCCCATGCCAGACAGCAGTGTGTTGTGTGGTAGAGTAGTCTTGAAGGTGTCTGACTTGGGACCTGCTTTTTGTAACTTATCCCCAAAATTCTGATGCAGTGAACTTTGGGCCTGGTGCCATGAAGCAGGCACATCCCTACCCCTGGGGTGCACAACCCTGTATTGTACCACCACCTCCCCTCTGCTGACTTTTTGCTCTTCCTGCAGCTGTGGTCTATGGAATGATAGTGCAAACCTGTTCAATTGTTGAATCCTTATTCCTCTGTCTAAACTTCTAGAACAGTCCATGTTATTAAAAGGTTTGTGCGACGGGTAGGTAGCTGCAGTTTGATTGGTCATTGGTTTCTTTGCCCTTGCAGCTTATCTCACCGTAAACATGTAGCTGTTTCAGACCTTTCCACATTCAAAGGTGTTTTTTAGGAGGCAGAAAACTACTGTCACATACAGTATGCCCTTTTTTTTGGGGGGGGGGTTAAGGGACCTAGATCTATAGTTGATGGGACACCTGTCAAATCAGGACATGGCTCTCCTGCCCTGGGCCAACTGAACGTATAGGCATAACCACTTCTGAACCAGGCTCCTAATGGAGCCGCGCTGCTGCTGGCCCTCAGGGAAGCAAGCTTGTGCTCAAATAGGTCCCTTTCTTCCAAACAAAAACAAAAATCCCTCAGTAGACCATGAATATCACTTTGCTATCCTGAGGCTGGGGCTGAGTAGAAGGGCTTAACTGAGCTCTCTGTAGCACAGGGCACTACTTTATGAATTTATAGCAGTGTCAGTACTGGACGTGAGCCAGGCTTTAGGATAATTTGTGACCGGCCCCCTCTTTCCTCAGCCCCTTGTGGCTCTGAATTGTTTCCGTTTGTTCTAGGCTGATGAACCAATCGTAGACTACGCTGCAATGGATGATGTCATGCAAGGTAAAGACAAATTTCTTTCAGGACCTGGTGATGAGCTTGTAAAGGATATGGGATTGTAGGTAAAAGCTGTAGTGTCCTGGGTTTTACTTTTAACCTTGAAAAAACCTGTTATGTGCTCTTAAAGTAGAATCTCCCATTATTTGTCATAAAATAAGGGAACGGGTTAGGAAATGGAGCAAGGAGAGCAGTAATTGTTTATTAACCCGAGGAACCTGGAGTAAAGGTAAGCCTTGGGGTAGAAGTCTAGAGGAAGCCTGGCTCACTCAGATGGCAGCTGGTCCTCATGGAGGAACAGGAGGCCCTGCAGCTCCAAGGGTGGGTGCACCTGGTGCCTATGAGCAGGAATTTGGTTGGAAGCCTGTGAGAAGCAGCCAGACAGATCTCCACCCTGCTGCGAGTCCTTGCCACTCACTCCCATCACATCTGTGTCACCCCTGCTCTACCAGGTACCTCAGATGGCAATTAGAGTAGGTGTTTCAGCAGTTGGAAGAAACCATACTAAAGGGCTGGTAATGTGACCTGTTTCCATGCAAACAGGAAAATCCTGTGCCCATCTCAACCCCCCCACCCCCACCCACCAAATCCCTGACTCCTGGGCCTCTACTTGAATTCTGGCAGCTCAGTACCAGGGAATTCCTTTCCAAAGAAACTAGCCAATACGTGAAAATAACCTCCCAATGGAAAGGGAGCTGGTTCATCTCCCAGGACCCCCCTGTGACCCCATTGCTGTCTACTGACAGTTTTGCAGCATCTCATGCCTCATAGGTTCAGTGGGCAGCCAGAGCCACAAGAAAGTTAAGGACTAAGACTGAAACCAAGAGATGTTGTTCAACAAACTAAGAATGAATATCCTATGAAGCAAAAGAAAGCTTAAAAATGACCTGCAAATAGCTGGGCATTGGAGGTATCTGCCTGCAATACCAGCACTTGGGAAACTGAGGCAGGAGAATTGTGAACTCAAGGCGAGTCAGAAATGACCTACAAATAATAGAGAAAATGGGCAGATGATAGCTAGGCCATGTATTAAAGGGACATTTCCAGAACAGGAAAGAATCTATAAGAATAAAAGCTGATTCACCAAGAGCTTGATAAAATCAATGAACAACTAGGGGTGCCCGTCTTAGCACATGGAGTTGGGAAGGAAAAACAGCAGTGCTTAGGATACCCCAAGGGAACGAGAGTTCCAGTCCTGACTTCTACAGACTTACAGACAGACTGATTCTACCCACGTGCCTGATGGCTCTTAAACCCCTGGAAGGCATCAAAAGTTTATCTCCCAGTGTGCTGTGTGGGGATGAACTCTTCTTAAACAAGGGGGTGTTAGAAGAAGAAAGTTGTCAGTGTCTTGGTAAGGAAGGATCAGCCGTAGGTCAGGACAGTGAAGAGAGATTTCAGAACCTGCGCTCTGTGGCAGGCAGTGTGTACACTGGTCTAGGTTGGTGGTTTGAACATGGACTTTGGGAGCAGCTGTCAGCAAGGCATGATGGAAGTGATAGCAACTGCCTTGAACAGGTTACAGGTTTTTAAGGATTTATGGTTGAATTGGACCTAGGTGCAGAGATAATGAAAGAACTAATTAATACAGGAGGTGCCATGCACAGAAGACAGATCACACAGGCAGTAATCCAGGGTTTACCAGTGGCAGCTGGGGAGACAAACTGAGCATTAATAAGTACCACTCAAAGGAGGCCAGGGGTGGGGCAGGTGGTAGAAGAGCTAAATTTTTGCTTCATTAGGGAAGTTAATCTAATAGTGGACAAGATCATGAAAAGCAGTAAAAACACCTTATTTAGAAATAAAGAAATTTGTTGGGTTTGGTGGTGCATGCCTTTGATCCCCACAGAGGCAGGTGGATCTCTTGACATGGAGGTCCACTTAGTCTAAGTGAATTCCAGGGTAGCCAGGGCGTGGTGGTGCACATCTTTGATCCTAGCACTTGGGAGGCAGAGGCAGGCCGATAAATAAATAAAAATAAGGGGCTGGAGAGATGACTCAGCCGTTTAAGAGTACTAACTTCTCTAGCAGGGGGCCCGGGTTCGAGTCCCAGCACCCACATGGCAACTAACAACCATCCTTAACTCTGGTTCCAGAGGATCCAACACCGTCTTCTGGTCTCCTTGGGCATGCACAAACATAGTGCACTTACATACATGCAGACAATGTAATCATACACATAGATAAAAAAAATAAAATATTTGAAAATAAGATTAAAGAAGGGAACTGAGCCAGGTATAGTGGCTTATGCCTATAATTCTGGCATTTGGAAGTCTGAGATAGGAGGATTGCCACAAGTTACAGGCCAACCTGGGTTGCAGTGTGAGATCCTATGGGGGGTGGGATTAAATACCAGAAAAATCTGCTTGGAAGGCTCACAGTGGCTTCTAGAATGTGGGCATGGCAGGAGGAGAGAAGAGACAGCCCCCAGTGGTCAGCCATGTGGTCTGCAGACGTCCCTCTAGTGTTTGACTTTAAAGGGTGGGCATGTGTCTTTGAATGCTCATCACCAGATTTGTGCCATCCATAAGTTCAAAAGGAACTGATCCAGGTGACTGAGGCAATTAAAAGTTATTTTAAACTTTTCATCCTGAGGCATTGATGTGCTGTTGCTAACTGACATGTCAGTCTTTTCAATCTGGAATTCTTTTCTTTCTGCAGTCTGTATGCCAGAAGAAGGGTTTAAAGGTAAGGTACATTTGTCATGCTTCCTTCATGAATGTCAGAGCCATACTACAATTCTTTATTAAAGCGAAGGCTATAATTTGATTTTAAAATTTAATCCAACCCGAGTCTTATGACTGGAATTAATTTGAGCTGAAAGCATTTCTATTTCAGCTTCTTCATTATCATTTTGGGCACTGAGGCCTCAGATTGAGCCTGTGCAACAGAACTCATTCTGCCAGACGTCCATCAAGTGTCTTCCCCTTTGCCTTTCATGGGAGGGTGGGAAATGAGCTAGTGGCATTTCTAGATTTATATTTAACCTGCCAGTTCCTCCTATCAGTTCATCGCAACAGAGCAGCTAGTATGTGACTGGTAAGAATTAGTAGTGGGAGAATTTGCAGAATTCCATCAGGTCATTGAAAAGGTTTCAGTAATTATGAAGAATCCAGATGTTTGGATTCTTGAGGTAGAGACCTGGTGCTCTCTTTACCTTCTTGGCCACTGAGCTGTGCACACCAACACGTTGATCCACCAAACTCGGACCCTTGACATTTGGCAGATGCAACGGTTGCCTTGGTGATTATCTGCTGTCCACTCCGTGGCAGGTTGTGATTGTATCAGGGAATGAGATTGAGTGAAATACCAGCAGTTCCTTGCTGGGACAGATGAGTGACAGAGCTCCTGGCCTAAGTGCAGCCTTCCTCCCTGGGAGACTTTGTTGTTTGCATGTTAGTGCCACAGAGGAAGGAACTCCTGGTGTGATCTAAACAAGACAAAGCTAAAGAATTCCCTTGTGGAGCGAAAGTATTGATCAAACCTAATTAACTTGGGTGAACCATGTGCATAGGAAACTCACGACTGTCAGCCAGAATGTGCTGTAGCTGAGAGCTTGGAGCTTGCTGGTATTTTGTCTTAAATCTTCAGTGCTGGGGGCTCCTGTGCTCATTTATTAGATTGGATAGTCCCCACTAATGATGCAGTCCTGCCAAGCAGAGCACACAGATGCGTCTGTTTTAGCTCCAACCATCCCTCCATGTGTGTTTTTTTCCTCAGGTACGGGTCTGCTTGGACATTAATCTTTGACCACTTGCTGACTGCTAAGAAATGACCAGAAGGGAAGAGGAATTTGACATGTTAGGGCATTAAATAATAAAGAAAAGGTGGATTTAAGAATGAAACCATTACCTGGCTCTTCCAAAAGGCAAAAATACATTCAAAAGTGACTGTCCCAAATGCCTTATGTCAAATAAAGCAGATTGCACTGATGGACATCAGACTTGAAGGAAATGTTTCAGATTTTCTATTTAAGGGGGGTGGTGGGAGGGAGAGGGCAAGGAAGGACTGAGCAAGCTGGGTAGCAGTAAGAGGAAATCATGTTTACATACGAGATTTATAGCCACGGGAGGGAGTAAAGTTCTGATTGTTTTCTGACGGAGTGTCATACCAGACGCCCTGGTCCATAGCGGATTTGTATCACAGTACATGGGACCGCATCCTGCTCTGAACTCAAAAGTGATTATGTTTAGAGACGTGACCTGCTTACTGATACCTGTCTTTGACTCATACTCACCTTTCAATAAAGCATGAAAATGAAGAACTTGCCGGCGTGGAAAGTGTCTTCAGAGCTCCATCCCTCTCCAGGTCGGCTGCTGCCTTGCCCCCTGCTTGCAGCCTGGGTCCTTCAGTGCTGGGTAGAGGGGCACCTGTATGCCTTCCTCATCAAGCCAGGAATGTGTTTCTATTTGGGCTTCAAAGGTTTCCTGCCTCTGTGCGTGTCACAAACGAAAGGGGAATGTTTATTGCGTGTATAGCAGTTCCTTCCAGTTCTGCTGTTACCCAAATGCACATTTGAAAAACAAGATCACCTTGCCAGAAGACTGTAAGCCGGACAGAAGCCCGATGTGATATGCAAGGTTTTTATAGAATTTGTTTTTTCCATTCTCCAAGTCCATTCTTTGGATCTCAATTCTCTTTGTGAAAGCGTTCTTCTGATGTGCCCTGGCTTTGAAAAGTGGGGACAAAACAGTCTGTGACAGGGTGTGCTGTCTTCTCCAACTCAGGATTACTGTTAGTAGCAACTAATAGTCAAAGCAGAGTTCTTAGGACTAGGGAAAGGGTTTTTAATGGAACTTCAGACTGGAGTTTTGGTTTTTTTTCTTGCTGTCTTCTCCGTTGACTGTGTATGTATATGTTTGTGGCTGAGATGCTGATGCAGGCATTTCTGTTACATATTTTTGACCTCAAGTTTGTGCCAGGCTTTTTTTTTTTTTAAATCTGCACTTAAATAATGGATAAGAGAGGCCAATTTCGACTTGAGAGCCAGTAACTTTAGCAGCATCTTTTGAATAGCTTTATAACAGAATACTTAGAGCTGTTTGGTCAGAGTCTGGTGTAGCGTCTGTGTTTGCACTGTATTGAGGTTTGTGTGCTGGAGGAGGTGGAGTTTAATGAGCCGGTGCAGGGGAGGGAGCGCTGTACACCTTCCTCAAAAACCACCCTAGGAGCAGGAGGGAGTGCTGTTCTGCCTTGGATGGGCACAGGGACTTGAAGTCACCCTGATTTCCAGATCTGTCATGTACTGAGCCTCACACAAAGGAGCTCACTCTTTCCCAAGGCCAAGGTACATAAAAGTTCACTAAGAGTTTCCTTACAAAGAAGCCCAGGGATTGTGGCAAAGCACTTGCCCAGCACAAAGCACTGGTTGAACCTCAGCACCATTAAAAAAGGGGAAAAAATAGCCAGGCTTGGTGGCGCACGCCTTTAATCCCAGCACTCGGAAGGCAGAGGCAGGCGGATCTCTGTGAGTTCAAGGCCAGCCTGGTCTACATAGTGAGTTCCAGGACAGCTGGGGCTACAGGGAGACGCTGCTTCAAAAAGACAAATAAATGAATAAACAAAAAGGGGGGAAAAAGGCAGTACAAAGAGCCTTACTGGCCACGCGTGAGGGTTTTTCTTCAGAGGCTTGATATAAACAAGCCAATATTTCTAGAAATCTGATTGTTCCAAGCTGCAGTTGATGCCACTTTTAAAGTTTGTTACTTGGGTGTCCTTATTTTCTTTACATAATGATAAAAATGATAACCTTTAAATCTTCCAAGCTGGTACCTTTGCCCTATGGGATGCAGGTGGGTTGGGCCCAGAATAAGCAAAGGGGATGGCCCCTCTTCCACCCTGACAACCGTCCTGAGTCTTCCAGTGCCACTCAAACTGCAAAGCTGTTTTGGAACTGCAGGAGCTCAGAGCAGCAGAGCCCACAGCCACTTCTATGCACAGAGAAGCTTGGGTCCCTGAGCTTGGGCTTCTTTTCGACCTGCAGATGACAAGGCAAATGACATTGAATGTGCTTGTGTACTTAATGGCTGCTGTGTTCCTATTTACTGCATATGGTGTCCAATAGTCTTCTGGGCTGGGGCTACCTTAAATAGACTATTCTGGGTCCCAATGTTGTGTGTGTGTGTGTATGTGTGTCCATGTATACACTTTGCATTAATCCATATTTTGAAGCTTCCCCTTTGTGTATATTTTTCTTTTTCAAGACAAGGTCTTGTATAACCAAGGCTGGCCTCATACTATGTAGCCAAGGATAACCTTGAACTTCTGGTCTTCCTATCACCGCTTCCCAGCCACTATGGCAGGTGCTGAGGCTCAAATCCAGGGCTTCGAGCATGCTAGATAAGCATTCTGCTTACTGACCTCCATCCTCAGCTCTCCTCTGTATATTTTTGATCATTCTTTAATCTCAAGCAAATGTGTAGAGTCCCCATATTCTGAAAAAATAATAATTGCCATTACTGGACATATAGGCTGTGATTTAATGTCTTCGTTTCCCCAGGGAAAACTTTCTTTTCTGTATTTATGAACTTTATTGTTTAGAATCACTGTTACTTTTCTGCCAAATTAAAGACGTGTGTCTCTTTGTTTCCACAGAACTGCAATCCAGAGTGAGTCTTTTGTCCTTTGACCTGTCAGGTGGTCTGTGGTCACAGATCTGATCAATTATAGTCATCAGCAGACATTGATGCTTGGGTTGTTCAGCCTGCTTTCAGTACCCAAGGAACAGTCTGCCTTTCCTGTCCATGACTGGCTGGGGTGGGTCACCGAGTGTTCAAGTGTGGTCTGGGTATAGGGTGTGAGGACAGAGTGCAGGCTGGCTGGAGGGTTATTGGTCAGGGATCTGATTGTTGCCAACATTAGAACCCTTTTATACATTAAATGACAAACATTAGCATTGTGAAAGAGTAGGTGCCACTTTGAAGCACCAGTTCCTGAGAGCAGTGCATTCTGGAGGTCAAGAGCAGCTCTCCATCCCAGACGTCCTAGTCTTTGATGGTGGAGGAGGTATCTAGCCCTCCAGGTGGCTGGCACAGGTGTAGGGTCTCACCTGGCTTTTCGGGTATTCCACTATTTATTTTGTGACTATGGAAAGCCACTGATTCCAGCTTTGCCTGTGTCTCATCTCTGAGCAACAGTATCCATGTTTACCCTGCCACCCCGAGAACTGAATGGTCATGAATACTGTTGGGAAAGTGCTTTATCAGAAGGGCTTGCTGAGGGAATGTGGGGTCTTTGCTTTGTCTGCAAGTGTCCACAGTTAAGTCTTGAAGCCACCCAGCCAAGTTTCCTGCTCCCCCTTCTCCAAGAACTTGTGCTGGAAACCCTACCTAAATCTTCTGTTTTGATCCATAAGGATCTCCAGAGGCAGTAGCCAAGCAACAGGCCCACTAGGTCCTTGTGTATCTGTGGGGTCATGTGGAAAGGTATTTGAAACATGATTAGAATTTGTGTGGAAGACTTAACACCTTTGTGATGGACAGTTCCTGCTCCAGAAGATCAGCTTCAGTGATTTTGATTGTCGTTGCCCAAAACATCAGAAACACACCTGGACCTCAGAGGCAAGGCTGTGCCTGAAGCAAGTACCACCACCAGGGCCTAGCCCGCCTGACCTAAGAATTGCGTGCTTTTTCATTGCTTTTTTCTTTTTAATGTGTGTATGAGTGTTTTGCCTGCATATATGTAGGTGTGCTGCATGTATGCAATGCCCACTGAGGTCAGATTCCCCTGGAACTGGGTTACAAAGTGTTAGCTGCCATGTGGGTGCTGGGAACCAAATCTGGATCCTCTGCAAGAGCAGCCATCTCCCCAGCCCCTGTTTATGGTTTTTGAAGTTTAGTGAGTATAATCGTGGAGAACTGGAAACAGGTATTTCTTGTGCATGACCCCTCCCTCCCCAAATAAACCCCAGAACTGGTTCTGCTAAGCCTATCCCTTAATCTACCACCAGTTATCTCAGATTGTTCTAGAATCTTTGTGACTTCAGGAGCTCTAGGACCTTTTTGAGCCAGCATTGATCTTCCCTCAGGATTGAGACGTGCCAGATTATAACTGGCTAAGCCTTTGCTCTTGGACATAAGATCAAGATTTATGCACAAGTGGGTGTTTTTGCACATCCTGCACACGCTGGGACCCATAGGTCCTCACACTCCTCAGGGCTGTTTCCCCCTCAAGTAAACCCAACGTAATTTCTGTATTGGATTTTTTTTTTCTTTTTTCCTTAGGGACTGACTAGCACAGTATAACCTTGCATTTGTGATCGGCTTCAGCCTCCCCAGTGTTGGGACTATGGGCATGGGCTGTCATTGCTGCTTGTATTTTTCTTGAGAGTCTTATGTAGCTCAGACTGGCCTGCACCTGTCTATGTAGCCAAAGATAACCTTGAAGTTCTCATCCTCCTGCCTCTACTTCCCAAATGCTGGGAGTACAGATGCGTTCCACCACACCTGGTTTATGTGATGCTGGGGATTAAACCAGGGCCTTGTGTTTGTACAACAGCCCTAGGAACTGAACTACAGCCTCCATCCTTCCTGATCTTAAATAGAGAACGTCATCTACCCCTTCCTTCCCAACATGTTCAATAAAAGAGAAAGTGCCTGCTGGGTGGTTAGGAAACCAGGACCTCTAAGTAAAAGTGCCCTCGGATAGAGACCAGCCAGCCCTGTAGCAGCAGCTGTGATGAGTGCTGGGTTCCAGATCTGAGCTTATGCTGCCAGGCAAAGCAGGCCCTGGGTCACACTCCAGGGAAGCCACTGCCTGGGTTGGACTTAGGCCGGCTGGCAACTGGCCTCTACACAATTGTATCTGGGTTTTCCTGCCTCTACCACTCCTGCTTGGTAACCAAGGGAACGGCAACCATCTCCTTTTATGATCCTGGACAAGTGTGTTCCGCTTTGAGCCTCCGGAAGTTGGCTGTGCAGACGTTGTCAAACATGAACCCAGCTGGGTGGAAGACAGTGGGGCCTCCTGACTCCAGATCCAACACTCCTCCCACACTCTCACCTAGTCCCTGGAGGAAGATCTGGGTGTGCATATGGGAAGTCGCCAAACAGGACTGCCTCTGAGGGCTTATCTGTCTACCCTCAGGTTGCCTCTGGATGCCTGTGTTTGGAGCAAATACAGCATCTCACCCTCCACAGCCTGTCGCTGGTTTTCCAAGTGAAAGAGATGCCAAGTCGTGTTACGTTGTCATGAATTCTGGACTATGGTGCACTGTTCTTTTTTTCAACTGGGGGGGGGGGGGCAGGTTTAGAGCTGGATTTTTTTTTTTTTTTTTAACCCTAAAACCATCCCAGCAAAAGCTAACCTAGTCAGTGCTGGGTTGATTTAGCATCCTGCTAGCAGGGCCTGTCCATCTCACTGCCAGCCCCTATCACCACTTGCTTGGGTGTAACATTCTCAGTGAGGGTCCACCAGAGGTTCCCCAGGCCGTGACTTCAGTGGAAAAGGGTTCCTGCAGGTGGACCAGTGCTCTCCCACCTTCACACTTTTCTCCTTTGTCTTCAGAATGGGGGTATTCATGTGATTTACATTTTCAACCCCCAAACTTGTAAAGGTCTCATCCCCTCCTGTGTCTGCAACATCAGCTGTGTCCAACCCTGGCTAGCTGGCCTTCCCTGACAGATGTCCCTGGAGCCTCCCACTGTTTAGAGTGAAATTGCCCCCTCTGGGCCACTTCTGGGCCAATGCACTGGGCACCTAGAGGACTCTTAGCATGTGTGTTTCTTCCTACTACAGCCCTGGTAGGCAGTTCCTGTCCTGATTTTCTTTTTCTGGGCTGTTAGAGGAAGGGTCATTTTCAAAGGCCATCATTTCTATTTTAGGACTTCTGCCCAAGAGCCCCATCCATGCAGCATTCAGAGCTCACGTATGTGTCACGTATGTGTTTGTTCTCCAGCCTTAGATGTCTGGGCGTTTTAAACCAGCGATTAGGAGGGCTGGAGCTGGGTTGGAGCATATTAAGTGAGGAGGAGGAGGCTTGTGCCTAAAGGCAACCATGCGTGAGTGGTCAGTGCTGAGTCGTTTGGATTGAAATAGGCCAGACCAGAGAAAGCAAACCTCCAGGGCCTTGGTCCAATCTTCCCTTCAATCCATGCCACACTCTGCACCCAGCCCTTTTTGTAGACACATGTTGCCTCTGGCAGTCTCAGAATGGCACCCTCCAGGACACACAGGAGATTATAAACCTCTTGTTTTATGCAGAGGAAAAGGCTGTGCCTGGAAAGCTCCTTGATTATAAAGAAACAGGTCTGGTACAGAAAAGCCTTCATTCTTTGGTTTACTAGGTATCAGGCATGTTCAGTTCCCCCCTGCTAATAAGCACTAAGGAAAGCTCTTGAGCTACAAGTCTGTGGTCCAAACCCAGGAATGACAACGGCCCATGACAGGGTACAGCTAACCTCTGCTTGGGTTTTTGTTTGTCTTTGGAGACGGTCAGTCTATGCCTGAGGCAACCTTGACCCTCCTGTCTGCTTCCCAAGTGCTGGGATTACAGGCATGTACCACCGCACCTGGTTTATGTGGCTGAACCCAGAACGTTGCACATGCTAGGCAAATACTCTACCATGTTCTTAGCCCTGTTTTTTGTTCTAATTTTTATGTTGAGTTGGTCTCACTAAATTGTTGAGGTAGGCTTTGAACTTATGGTTCTCCTGAGGCCTGCTGGGTAGCTGGATTAGAGGTCTGTACCAATAGATCCACCTGCCTGATGGCATTTCTGTACCATCTGCCTCCATCTACTCTGTCTGCCCCTTGACCAGGCCCAGACAGGACCCTTCAATCTAATGGGCAGTCTGGAGTAGGCTGGCTGTCCATCTGATGTGCCTTTGTTAGGTTCTGGGAGCAGATGATCCACTTGTCACATAGCAGGAACGGAAGAGCTCTGTATTGAGGAGTGCTCAAAATTGAATTCAAGGCTCTACCCACACTGTACAAAAAGCCTAGAGAATCCTGGGATCTGGGCTTGTGAGATGGATGAAGCCACTCCAAGTGTATGTAGGCACCGGGTTGTCATTTCCTAGGTAGGACCCATGCTACCAAGCATTGCCCAGGACCAAGATTGCAGAACAGAACATCCTTTCCTGAGGCAGCCACCACTACACCACACCGTCCCTTCATCCCCACAAGGGCCTCAGACAACTTCAGTTTCCTGTTTCTATAGCTTTGAACCCCATCTGTAGAGGTGGGCTATCCCTCTGCAGAAGAGCCCCTGGGCCATCTCCAGGAATTTCCCTGGAGCCTCAGCTGCCAGTGCTACACAGCATGTCCAGGGCCACTTGCACCAGCTACTCTGAGGCTTTGTTGCAAAGCTGGAACTCGGGCACCAGTGCACTGGAGTCTTTCCATTCCTGTGCTCTCCAGTCTGCAAGGCCTGGGCTGTGGCCTCCCCACCCACTGGGGGACAACATGCCAATCCCCACTTAGCCTTTTCCCATGAGGGTGGAGGGGTGGAAACAAGGTATTTCCTCTAGTCTCTTCTCTGAGGTGAGTGGTGGCCCTGGGAGTCTGAAGTCAGGCAAAGCCCCGCTGTAGCTGGTTTAAGGGTTGCCAAAGCCCTGGGGTCATTTCCTTCAAGAAAGTGCAGTCCCTGTGCTTCCGGAAATGAGGCGGGGAATAGGGCTCAATAAACACTGAATACATGACTGGAGTTCTTTCTCCGTCCTGAGTCCTATCTTGACCTTGGAGAGCCCTAAATATAAGGTGGAGGTTGTCTCTATCGCTCTTGGTCTTAGCCTCGGTTTCCCAAGCTAGAGTAAGGAGCGCAGGCAGGCCCTCACACAGGTCCACAACCACGCACAGCTGCCTGTTTCCCACCCTCAGGGAGGGTAGTGTGGAACCTCGCTGTGTGTCAGTAAGGCGGGCAGACCCGAGTGCCTGTGCTGCCTGCCGCTGTCTTGCTGGGTGACCTTGGACTCTTGGTCTCTTCCTTTCCTGGGTCCTCGGAGGTCACTCCGAGGACCCTTCTGCTGACTTCATCTGAGCACGCCCCCACCCGCCTTCTAGACTAGCTTAGGGCCTCTACCAGCTCCCACTCCAGCTCAGCCCAAGAGGGGTACGCCCCCTCCTCTCTCCGTGTCGCCCCCACTTGCCCCAAAGTTGTCCCCATCCCCTCGCAGCCTGGGCTGATGGCTAGCTCCCCCAACCCTGCCACTGCCTGACTGGGTAGTCCCGACCTTGTTCCTACGCCCCTGTAGGCCTCAGTTTCCCCACCTGTAAGATGGGGAGGCCGCCCCTGCCGCGCGGGCCGGCGGCTCCGGCTCCGCAGTGAGTGGGGAGCGGCGCCGGGAAGGAGCGCTCGGCTGTCACGTGACGCCCCCCTCCCCGAACTGCGGCGGCGGTGGCGGCGAGCGCGTCCCGGCAGAGCTGCTGCTGCCGCCGCGGGCACCGGAGTGCCGAGCCCAGGACGCCCCGACCCAGGCCCGCGGTGAGTGTCCGCGCCGGCTGCGGCCCTGCGCAGGGACCGGGATGTGGGTGGCAGCGGGGACGACGCCCGAGCGGGCTGCGGCTACAGGGTCGGAGGGCGCGGGGAGGGGCGCAGCGGGGCTGGACAGCAGCGGGGCGGGGACCCCGCAGGAACCGGCCAGGCCGCGGGTGGCTCGACTCCCACCCCTGGGTGTCGCGGAGTGCTGTGTGCCCTCACCCTCGAGAGGGGACTGCGGAGAAGTGGGGCGCACGGAGCAGGGGCCCAGCCCAGCATCCCCAGGGGGTGGCGCTTCGCTCCTCCGAGCAGGCAAATGGGGGTCCTGGAAGCCATCGCCTCTGAGCCACCCAGGGCCTTGATGTACTTGCATCTCCAAGTACAGAACGTATTCCCTGCCCTGTCCCTGACCCGCTGCCGAGCTGGGCACACGCGCCACGCAGTCCGGCGCCCCCTCTTCGCCTCCCCTGGTTCCGCGGGATCTGAGAACTGGTGGGAATTCACAGGCAATCACTGTGCCCTGCAGGCCCTTTCGGGGCGGGGGGGGGGGAGCGTTCTGTTGTCCCAACTTGGGGAAGAAACCTTGTTTAGATACACACACACACACACACACACACACACACACACACACACCCCTCACAAGCCCAGGATGTGAGTGACCCCTGTATCCCTCCAATGCTTCACCCCTAAGTCCTTGTCAGGGTCAGCACAGGCCTGGAGATAGGGTCAGGAAGGACATCTGACCCCTTACACGGCATATTGGTATCTCTCCCTGTCCTTCAGTGCCTTCCTTGGCAAAGTCAGAGAGCCAGACCCAGGGTGGCCTGAAGGAGAAGCGGAGACAGACCCCACCAGGTGGGAGGCAGAAGAAAGGCAAAGCGGAAATCGGTGGGCTGCTGCCTTTTCCTCTCCAAGTGAGCGCTGGGTGTGAGGCTCCTCACCAATAGAGGCCACACCTCTTCTTCCCAGGGTGTTTAAGGGAAGAAGTTGGTGTATAGGAGCCCTCATGGGTGTCTAGGTAGGCCCAGAATCCTGAGGGCAGCAGGACCAGGTAGTGGTCAGGCTTCTTGGCACTGGGTGTTCACCCTGCAGCCCGATTCCAGGGCCCCCTGACAGTGGAAGGCGCTGGGCAAGAAATAGGCCTGCCCTTCAGCCTTGCTTGGAAAAAGATTTCAGGTAATGATCAATCCTCAGGTGGTAAGGGCAGAGTACCTTCCCTATCCATCACAGCCTTTCATGGCACAGTCTCCCTGGAACAGATGAGGAAACTGAGGCTCAGAGAGGCTAAGTAAACTGTATGAGGCCCCTGAATTACATGGTGCAGGGTAGAGGGGTCACAGTGGCCTCTACTACTTGTGTGCAGAGGAGGAGGATCTCTGGATGGAGGCGGGATGGATGTGAGAAGGTTTAGAGTCTATACACGCTGTGCTACCCTTTCCCATGGCTATGATGTGCCCTGCCCTGGCTTTTGCCAGCTCCTGTCCTAATTTAGGCAAAGCCCCCTCTCCTCCCCAAGGTACTTTCCTGGCAGGGTTTTGGGAGCTCCCTCTGCTGCTCTACCTGCCACCCCCACCTGCCCCAGGACATGTTAGGGTCCTTCCTCTGGCCTGCTGAGGTGCAGCAGGCCTCCTCTTTGGTTTATGAGTCTCTCTGTCTCAGGACCTCTCCCCCTCCCCGCAACAGGGTCTGCATGGGTTGAAGGTGAGGAGGGAGTCCTGAGAACCTGTCCTCCACTCCTCCCCCTGCCCTGCTGTGAAATTCAGGATGGAGAGGCCCTTAGAGGACTCCTTGGGCAGATCTGTCTTCCATGCCACCTGTCCATCTTTGAAGCCTTTGTCCCAGCTGTCAGAGGCTACTCAGCAGCCACAAATACAGCCAAACAAACACAAACATGGCTTGACTCACAAGTACCCTAAGACCCAGACTTAGGGACACAGACACTCCGCAGTCAAGATGCCTACCCCACCTTGTCTGACCCCATACACAAGAGACACACCACTGACAAAGGCCATTCCTGTGCACACACAGATGAGTGATTGTGAGCAAGAGGTAGAGCTCCTTAAAGCCCTCATCTGGGGGCTTCTCTACCTTAGTGGCCTCTACTGTTCACAGGAAACAAGCACATGCACAAGAACGTGTGGAGGCCTTGTGCCCTTAAAAATGAACCTGGCAGACGTGCTCAGGCGCCCACATGGATGCACACATGCACGTGTGCCTGGCATCAGCTTCCTGCACGTGGGGTGTGACTGCCTCGTCACCCCAGGGGGTGGGAGAGGCCCCTCTGAGCACCCCCTAGCAAAGCCTCACCTTATTCCCTCCCTCTGCTTCCTGTGAACCCATCTAGGATGGAGGAACAGCCTTTGAAACTGCCTTGTGTTTCTCCTTCCTGGACCCTTCTACCCTGCCCCACCCCACACTTGCCTGCAGGGCTGTTGGAGACCCTCTCCCCCGCCTGTCCCTGAAGCTGCCACTCTGAAGGTCTCTCTTGAAACCACCCAGGACCCAGCTCGGGCTCCAAACAGCCCCATTTTCCTTTGCAGCCTTGTTAGATGCCTAGCCAAGTGCTGCTTTCTGCTTTGCCCTCCCAGCAGGGCTGGGGCCAGCTGCTGTGAACCAGGGAAATCCCGGCCGATCTCTGCTCACTTCTTCCCAAGGCAGAATCACTGCCAGGCTATGCCCAGGTGCCCTGGCTGTGCCTCTCAGATATTGGCACCTCTGGGAAGTGCCAGGGTGAGGCCTCCTGGGCAGACAGATGCCAGGTTGGAGGTGGTGAGGGGCTCTGGGGCTCCACCATGCTCACTTGAGGTCCTCACCTCAGGTTAACTAGAGTGCTGATCCTCAGTCTAAGCTGGCTTTGCCTCTGGCTGGGTGCACAGCCTGGCAGATCGTTTCCCTCTCTGGGCCCAGTTCCAGCTCTAGGAAGCAGCTTGGCCCAACTGGGGAATGAGGAAGGTCAGAAGTGTGAGGATGCACCCCCTTCCCAAGGAGAAAGCGAAGTTTGGCTCATCTGGGCAGTGTGGGCAAGGGGGCCCTGGCTGAGGGTTTCCTGCAGGCTGGAAGCTCTAGGTTTACACTAGCTAGCTAGGGGTTGCCAGGCCTGGCACTTCCAAGGCAGCCCCAGAGGAAGGGAACCCAAGAGTAGGGGGTTGCAATCGTAGCTTACGTCTGTGGGCGTTCTCAGCCCTCGAGACAGGCTCTATTTTTAGGTCTTAAGACTGGCACTTGGCAAGCAGTGACTCAGAAAGGAAGAAGGGAGAAGAGGCTAAGGGGTGCTGATAGGGAGGCACCCCAAAACAGAAAGGGTCCCACTAGGATGTTAACCCTTCCTACTAAAAAGCAAGAACCAAAATATCCGATCTGCCTGCTATGTGCCAACACAGACAGACTAAAGCCTGGCTACTTGCTCTGTAAGCATTCGGTGAGCATCTAGTGAGTGCATCTAGATTGGCAGGCACTGGGAACAGAGGTGACCTGGGAGTGGCAGCCTCTGTGGTATGTGTTGCTATGGTTTTCTCCTGTGAGGAGGTAAGATTCAGAGAGGTTTGGCTGCTCTGCCAACATGAGGCTATCCTCCTTTTAGAGGGAGCAGACCTGAGTTACAGTTTTGACTCACCGCTGCATGGCGTAGGACAGGTTCCTCCATCTGCCTGAGCCTGTTTCCCTTATCTGTAAAGAAGGAATCGAAGGGTTTGTTTAAAGGATTAAAAAGCTTAATGTAGTGTGTAGCTCAGGGGAACGGTGCCTGCCTAGCGTGTGTGAGGCCCTTAAAGAACAAGGAGTTAGAAAGAATCAAAGTCCAAGTTGGGCATAGTGGCACACACCTGTAATCCTAGCATTCAGAAGGTGGTCAGGAGGATATTGAGTTCAAGGCCAGCCTGGACTACATACAGAAACATACCTCAATCAATCAATCAATCAATCAATTAATCAATCAAACAAAAAAAAAATACTGGGTGTGGTGGTATAGGTCTTGAATCCTAGCTCTCTAGGAGGCTGGAACAGGGGACTGAAAGTTCAAGGCCTGTCTGAGGTACAGAATGAGTTCAAGTGCATTCTGGGCAACTTAGTGAGATCCTGTCTCAAAATAAAAAGTAAGACGGTTGGGGTGTGGCACAGTGGGGGAGCGCTTGCCAAGCTTTTACTGGGGCTCAGTCTCCAGTAGTGCGAATGAAGAACTACCATGAGCCAAACCATCCAAGTCCAGTATCCGCTGCATGACTGAACAAACTGTCTCTCCTCTCTGTGCCTCATGATCCTCCACAAAGCAGAAGTTATGAGCTCTGATTTGCTTTCTGCCTGTGAGTATGGGGCACAGTGGTTGGCAGCTGCCTTGGGAAACATAGGGCTATCCTCAGAGGAAAACGTGGAACTACACAAAAGGAAAACAAATGCCTGCAAAATCAGGAGAAAAATCTTTTTTAAAAATTTTAAAACTTTCTTTCCTCTCCTCTTCTCTCTCTCTGTCTCAAATTTTATTATTTATTTATTTATTTATTTTAGTGTGTGTGTATGTATGTATGTATGTATGTATGTATGTATGTATGTATATATGGGAGAGTGAGAGCTACAGTGTAACTGTGGAAGTCAGAAGACAACTTACAGGAAGGAGTCAGTTCTCTCCCCCTACTATGTGAGTCCTGGGGATCAAACTCAGGTTGTCAGACTTGCTGGCAAGTCCCTTTATCCACTGAGCCATCTCAACAGCTTCCCTCCACACCGTTTTAAAAATGATACTCTTTTTTTTTTTTTCCTTTTGAGACAGGAACTTGCTTTATAGACCAGGCTGGCCTCGAACTCACAGAGATCACCTGCCCCTGCCTCCCAAGGGCTGAGATTAAAAGTGTGCACCACGCCTGGCATGATACATTATTTTTTGTCTTTTTGAAACAGGGTCTCCCTGTAGCCCCAGCTGTCCTGGAACTCACTATGTAGACCAGGCTGGCCTTGAACTCACAGAGATCCTCCTGCCTCTGCCTTCCAAGTGCTGGGATTACAGGCGTGCGCCA